TCGATCTTCCTCATCCTTTTTTTCATATTCATCTCTATTTTTGCATATTCCAATTCTCCTTTACCTTAAAATGTTTAAATTTACTTTGATCTTCGTTTTTGCCTGTACCTCTAGGCATCTTTGTTTTTGTTTTTATTCTCAAACCGCTAAACCGCTGAGAACCATTTCCATCTGCATTATACCCCTTAAATTTGACAATTTACTCCCAACCAACCAACTGCCGCAAAAGAAGTTTCACTTCATAAATTAAAGAAATGTTCTTACCCTTACAGTTACCCTAGTTCTTATGTATCTGTCATTGTCTCCATTTTCGTCCTTATCTTCACTTTTGCCTTCTTTTTATACCCGAGCGCACTTGTGCACAAGGGTATTATAACTTTGTTCACATAACGGTTGTTTGTAACAGGCAAAACGAATCGAGATAGATATAGACAAATGTATACATAAATGATCAGAATGAAAAGAGAAATCGATTAAGCGGTGACTGTCTGTCCGTCCGTCCGTCCGTCCGTCCGTCCGTCTGTGCACACGATAACTCGAGTAAAAATTGAGATATCTTAACGAAACTTGGTACGTGAACTTCTTTTGGGCGTGGGACGGATGGTATTGAAAATGGGCGAAATCGGATAATAACCACGCCTACCTCCCATATAACGGTAATTTTAAGAAATACGAAAACTGCGATATTTTAGTAACCACTGAAGATAATTCACTCAAAATTGATACTTACAATGAGTTTCAGACGGAAAACATGAATATTATAAATTTTTGGAAAATGGGCGTAGCCACGCCCACTTATGGTTACATGTGTATATCATGGTAACAGCTGCACCAATTTCTTCCAAACTTGGCACAGTTGTTGGCCTTAGTACAGCATACTAAATGGCTGAAAATTTGAAAAATCGGACAATAACCACGCCTACCTCCCATATAACGGTAATTTTCAGAAAAACGAAAACTGCGATATTTTAGTAACTACTGAAGATAATTCACTTAAAATTGATATTTGCAATGAGTTTTAGACGAAAAATATGAATATTACAAAATTTTGGCCAATGGGCGTAGCCACGCCCACTTATGGTTACATGTGCATATCTTGATAACCGCTACACCAATTTCTTCCAAACTTGGCACAGTTGTTGGTCCTGGTACAGCATACCAACTGGCCGAATATTTCTAAAATCGGACAATAACCACGCCCACATCCCATATAACGGTAATTTAGAGAAATACAAAATCTTCGATAAATCAGTAAATATTGAAGCTAATTTATTCAAAATTGATGATTGCAACAATTCTTTACCAGGAAATACGTTTATGACAAAATTTTGGAAAATGGGCGTAGCACCGCCCACTTGTGATCACATATATGTATCTCGCTAACCGTTCTAGCAATTTGTACCAAGCTCGGTATGGTTATTGTGCTTGCCACATAAAAGCAAACCGTTGAAAATTGTTGAAATCGGACTAAAATTGAGGCCGCTTTTCATATAACGGTAAATTTCAGATATGCTTGAAATTTCAATATTTCGAAATTTAAGGACGCTAATTTACTTAAAATGTATACACCCCGGCTTATCATGTAGCGGTAGCTTTCGGAAAGGTGGAAAACATATATTTAATACTTGCGCCGGGTATTTAATGTTCGGCTCCGCCCGAACTTAGACTTTCTTACTTGTTTTTACTTCATCGTTATCATTTATTTCTTCATCTTCATATTTATCTTTATTTCAAGGCTTAATTTCAAATGTGAAGTGAAACGACATGAGAAACATGTTAAATTGAACATGTTGCAGCAACATCTATACAAAAATCCGAAATATTTAAACGACGGTTTTGGCCGTAATTTTCAACCAATTGCGAAACCAACCAACCAACCGGAAAAATGCCTTTCCAACGGTGTTCCTGGTTTTGAAATCGGTTTGGTAGAATCGCCAAACGAACGGAGACAAAATTTATGTTAGCGTATTAATATATAGATAAAAAGTATTAATACACAGAATATCAGTAAATATAATAGTAATAACATATATATTAATAATAATTAATATCGTAAAACCGATACATCATTTACCAAGCTGGCAACACTATTCCGATATTGACATATCGATCTCTGCAAAAATCCCCCTTTTGGGAGAGTGGGCAACATTGCAACACAACAGATGACGGAAAACAATAACAAACTAATATAACTTAAACCAGATAGTAAAAAAAAGTTAAAAATGTGGAAATATACAGTTTGCTGCGCAATGGCAACTGTTTAAGCAATGAATAATATAAAAGGACATCGCAAAAGGACCCGTTACTCAAAAAGTGACTGCAGCGATGGATACACGGGCAATTGGCGAACTGTTCAAGGCGATGGGCGTGAAGGACGGCACTTTGAAAGTGCGTTTGCGCCGCCTGACTGAAGCAGAGATCAGGCAACATACTGTCGTTGGTGAAGGAGAAGGCATCGAAGACAACGCAAGTCAGGCCAGCACCGAAATATACGTGCGCGAAGGTGGAGACAGTGGCGCGAGTGATGTGGGGTGTTGGAGTCCTGCATCATACTATAGCAGCGGCTATACGCCAAGAAGTCCGGAAACAAGCAACGGGGTTGGTAGCCAAACGCCAATCGAAATATCCGGCGAGAGCAGCGACAATGATGATGAGTGGCATCGAGGCGAAGTTGTAAGAGAACCTACGCCGATCGAAGTATCTGATAACAGCGACGACGAGCTGCGCCGAGGCGAAATTACCATCACGGAAGAGAACTGCCAACGCCCAGGTGAGGGCTACATAGAGTATGTCCGGCGCATCACAATGACGATGCGCATTTTCAACGGGGCGTCACAGAGCGCCGAATCGTGGCGGCCACCACCTGCGCAGGCATTGTGCGACGTAACAGCGGCGACAGTGGCAGCTGACATCAGAGATGAGGATGACAGCGATGAGGAGAATGCGCTCACCCTGTCGGTAGAGGAAGACCGCGGGTTGGAGCAGTGGTTAGAGGAGTTGGCCAATACAGAGCCAGCAGACCCGATGATGATCCACGAAATCGAACGCTGGTTGCAGGACGACAATATACAGCTAGAAGCGCTACTCGGTAACTGGCGAAACTTCAGCGGCACAAACCCGGTGCCAAGGGAACTGGTAAGGGTCATTCAGGAGCGGCTGCAGCGACAACAAACTAAACGCCAGACATTCAGGCATGCGGTGGGCACAATGGTGTACCGCGAACGTATTACAAGCGCGGGGATGGTGACAATCACGCGTCCAGAGGGAAGTAAAGGTGGGGTGTGAAGACCCGAAGTCCCTACACTCAAGGACTTCACAATTGGCTATCATATGTTATTGAACTGAATTATATTTTGAATTGTTAAATACATATATGTATATATATATATATAGATATAAATGTTGAATTTATTTATACATATTAAATGAATTGTTAATTATATACATACGTGAAATCGAAATACATATGTAGATATTTATATTAAAATTTGAAGTACATACATACGGACTTAGGTATGAACAAGTAAAAGCAAGTAAAGAAAATATTAGCAACAATGTTGTTAGGATAACTGTCTGCCTCCGTGCAGGACAGTATAAATAGAGCAGCAAATGTAATTTGAGATCACTTCTGGTAGAGTAGTCGTATACTCCAGTCGATCGTGCAAACGCAGATTGGAACGGCTAAGCAACGATTGTGAAGACTAAGTTGCTTAGTAGGTACCCAGTAGAAATCGGTTGTATGCATTCTTGCTATGGATGCTTGCTATATGAGTGAATTAGTGTGAACAATTCATGCGTAGTCATGAATTTCCACGAATAAATTCAAATTATAGCGAATTGCAAGCGAATGTACGTTGTCGTTATTTTAAGTACATTTCTTGATACATTTGAAGTGGAATTTTTGTAATATTTTGAGTCTTGTACAAAAATTTTAGTGAACGGACGTGTTGTGCGATACTATTTTCAGCACAAACGGGATTTTACAAGATATGCATTTGAATATGTAAATGCTACTTGTTTGTATGTCCCCGTATATAAAAATGTATCAGAAAAGTAGCATTTACATATGGGGATACATATCTTGTAAGAATGCTTTAATACTGTTCCATTAATGCATTTTTGTTATGTTTGAAATATTAATACAGCTATATGCATACAGCAGTAGTACAAGTGTATGATTAAGGTACGCATACGCTCTGAGAAACCACGCGTGTTAAATGGATATGAAGGTTCATTTATACTGGCATGTATACACAGCAGCAAGCTCATGCCACCAACAGCGATGTTGTATGCAAAAGATTTCTACTGGGTAGTTAAGGTATATGGTGTGATGTGAAAATGCTGCCAAAGCAATAAGTTATATTGGTGTGACGTGAAAACGCTGTCAAGGAAATGCGTTATATTGGTGTGACGTGCAAACGCTGCCAACTAAATAGCGAAATAAAGTTGCGTATTTATTTTAACGTTTGGATAAGGGAACCCAACATCCGACTGAGTCACAGCCCAGCTATAGACCGGATAAACCGGGTTCGTTACAGTTTTTACGAACGTGTACTTAGCAAGCATTTTCATTTACATACCCAATAATATTTTAACATTGTGTATTAGTTATATTGCCGCGTATAGTTTTTTTATCCGCTTGTCGTTTGTTTGTAGTTGTTGAGTCATATACCCAACAAAAACTTTTAACTTTTTTGGGAAGTACTTATTTTTGTATCAATGGAGTAATGCAATACAAGTCGCATCAAGACAATTTTCGCTTATCCATTGCATTACAGTAATGCAATGGATAAGCGATAATTCTCGTGAGGTGACTTGTATTGCGTTACTCCATTGATACAAAAATAAGTCCTTTCCAAAAAATGAAAAGTTTTTGCTGGGTATGTACCTACATACATACGTATACTTACATAAATACATATGTACATAGCTGCCACGTTTTTGTTGTTGCTTAAGACCAATATTTGAATTGCGTCTTGATTTGTGGTATCCTTTCCCAGGGTGCCGGCTCCACAGGTGCTCTGTCAGTTGTTAGTGATCTCCTACCTGCTGGTAGCTTGAATGTACGTATGCCCGCTAGTTGTCGATCAACGGTATCCGATACCGAATACGAAAATGTAAGTAGCTATGATTCCAAATGTAACTTAAGATATTTAATTTATGGTTGTACGGCGATTTTTATTAATTAACTCTCCCTTATTTACGTTGTTTGTGTTTGATAGTGCGAGTGAACTGAAAATTTCGAATGAAAGCTATACCGAAGCCATGATTCAATTATTATTCATTCATTATTATTCAATTACTACTGATTCATTATTGAATCATGTAGCGAACCCCACTTTTAGAATATACGTAATTTTTATGAAACAAACTAAAAATTTGCATTCAAAGTGCTTGGTATTAAACAACAAATACTCTGTCCTGTCCTTAGAACTTTTAAAACTGAATTAAAAAATAGGGAACTAATTTAAATCTTGCTTTAAAATGCAATCAAATGTTTCTCCTTGCCATGTGACTTTTAGACTACAACGTCAAAGGACTCAAAACGTAGCTCCGGCAATATTTGGTCTGGAAAATCAACGCTCAGCGCTGGATTTAGGTATACAGGCGGACATTTGATTAATACGTCTTCCTCTCCATCACCTGATACTCCTAGAGTGTACCTTTTTGAAGGATTGATTGGACGGGATCGTTCGAATTTGTGGAACCAAATGCAATTCTGGGAGGATGCCTTCTTGGATGCAGTGAGCCAAGAACGCGACATGATCGGAATGGATCAGGTGAGTAATGCAAAAACTATAAATTTTGTTATTTAAAAATTAAAACGATACTAATAAACTTTTTATTGGAAAAATATCACTGCGAATAGTTCCGATAGGGGCTGGGATCCTATCCACCATTGAGGCCCATCTGAAACCCGCCCTGGCAAACCCATAAGCAGCCTTTTATCCGTTAACTAAATATTGTATACACATAATTATGGCTTTGCTGAAATATGTCTCAAACAAAAGATATAGATTTAAATAGATAGGGGGATATTCGTGGCCGACAAAAATTATGCCAAAGAACTGCAGCTAACTTTAGTGTTGACTTTATTTTGACTGTGAACACGCCTCACACTTTCTAGTTCTTGGTACAAAAATGTATTAAACAAACAAGTTTACTTTGAAAATCGACATTATATATTCTGTCTTCCACTTTTATCTTTCTTTCTACTCCAGGGACCCATCGAAATGATGGAGCGTTATAAAGCACTTAGCGAAGAGGAACGTAAACGGTTAGAGCACGACGAAGATCGACTACTCTCGACAATGCTGTACAATCTCACTGCCATTTTGGTAATGTTGGGCGTTAACAAAGAGGAAATACGTCGTAAGATCCGTCGTCTTTTGGGCAAAAGTCACATTGGTTTGGTTTATTCAACCGAAGTGCACAATGTCGTAGACCAAATAAATAATCTCGTGAGTGGAAATCTTGCATTTCCTCAAATTATCACACGGCTATAATAAAACTTTTACTTTCCACAGAATGGCAACGATATCGACTTAAAGCCGCTTGGGTCGAGACTTCTGCATCACCAGAGTTTCACCGTACATCCCGGTTCTGATGCCAACGGCCCACTTCTATTCATGGAGGTGCGCGACGATGGTCTAGTGGTACGCTCCGTTGATGGCACAATCGTAGAACGTTGGTTCTATGAGCGCCTTGTAAACATGACGTACTCCCCTAAAACTAAAGTACTCTGCCTCTGGCGTCGCAATGGTGGACAAATACAACTCAATCGCTTCTATACTCGCAAGGTATGTAGTTTTTAAAAATGTCTGTATACACATTTGACAACTTTTTTTGGAGAAACAGTGCAGGGAACTGTACAACTGCATTAAGGAGGCCATGGAGCGCAGCGGCACACCGAAGAATGTGCCAGAGTTGGGTGGTGAGTTCCCAGTGCAGGATATGAATACCGGCGAGGGTGGCCTATTGCAGGTGTGCTTGGAGGGAGTTGGTTTGTTATTTTCTAACAGCAAGGTAAGTAAATTGGTTTTAAATAACTACGAGTAGGTATATAAAAACTATGCATAACTCTCACTTCAAAAATAAAAAAATGCAAATGCGCATTTATGGTGTAAAAAAAAAACTAAATTATTTTTGGGAAGATGTTCAAAGTAAATTACCATTTTAAGATATTTTCCAAAACCTTTTACGCCTACTTTCGATACTTTTTAATTGTAATAGTTTTTGTGAGATTATGAAATTATAAAGCTACGTCAACGAATTTCATGATTTTATTTTATTTTCATTCTTCAACTTCAGCCACTTATTTTATTTTGTGTTCACTAAAATGGTTATTTATTTACGAAAAAACAAAAATCATGCATTGTGAAGTTTTCATACGATATTCTTGTTTATGTATAAAAGCAAGGACCTTCTCAATTTGCATTACAATTTTTACTAGCAATTAAACGAAATTAAAATGCAGGTTAAGATTTTTTTAAATGCGCATATCGACGCTGAGGATTTAGTAGCAATTTCCTCCGATAGTCCCAACCATTGGAATAAGAGTAGATTATTTTGTAGTGTTTGCTTTTATTTGTAACTACATCCATTTTAATTTTGCACCATTTTTAGTTGTAGTTCTATGCATACTCTACTACATTTGCTCCAACGGCTGACAAGTAGATTGAAACTTTATTATAAAGCCTAAAATTAAAGATTTTCATCATAAGTAATAACCCCCAATAAAAGGTCTACCGAAAGTTATTTTTATAAAAGCGCAAGATTACGAACAGATATAAACAAAAAGCGCAAGAGTTAGCTTTCAGCACACTTTCTTCAATTACATAATTAACTAAGCCGAAATCAAGAGGTTTTCGGACCACGTATGTACATATGTATATTAATGCACTTATTGCGAAAAAAGAATTTGAATTACCTAACCGTATACCCAGGCATCCTGTGAGGTAGTGAAAGGTAACACATTGAGTGAGTGTTTTAACGTCCCGTTGCATCTCAAAAATAAAAGCGAGACAATAGAGATTATTTTCCTGCTTCCAAAAGTTGTCTTCAAGAAAAATCAGTTCAATAACTATGGTCTACAAATATGTACTAATCTAACATCTCCCAAGATTAAGTACTCCCTTTGATAAATGAAGTATGTAGATCCTTTAGTATAAATACAAAAATTGTCATATTCGTATTTCTTACAAATAATTTATTGCAAACATCCATTTTTAATAAATTAGTTATATGGGATGTGGGCAAAATTTTCAGCCGTTTGTTATGCTTTGCCAATACCAACATATGTATTGATAAGTGGCCAAAAAATTATAATATTCGTATTTTCCGCCTAAAGATGATTTCAAATATCACTTTTGAGTGAAAAAGCTTTAGTAGTTACTAAAATATCGCAGTTTTCGTATTTCCGCCAGCTACCGTTATACGGTTGGTAGGCGTGGTTATTGTCCGATTTTGCCCATTTTCAATACCATCCGTCCTACGCTCAATGAAGTACAAATATAAAATTGTTAAGATATCTCAATTTTTACTCGAGTTATCGTTTGCACAGATGGATAGACGGACGGGCGAACACACAGATAGTCAAGGCTTTATCGATTTCTCGTTTCATTCTGAGCATTCATGTATACATACATGTGTATATATGTAACTCGATTCCCATGAACCAAAAAGACAAGATCACGACAGCAGAAGAGTGGCCCGTTATAATCGCACTTATGAAAAAAGTAGGGCGATTTTGACATAAGCCGTTTGTTTACATTTGTTCGTTGTTTACAATTTGGTGGTGGCTTTTTACTGCAATTTTCTTAATTTTCGCTTGTGACAACGTGTGCACACATAAGGTAAAGAATAATTTAACACAACGACATGTTTTATAGGAGAATTTGCATAATAAAAATGATTATTCATGCGTTCAACAATTACGCGTTTTTTTTTTTGTTCTCTTCGTTGTTTACTTCTTACAACAAAGATGGCGTCGAGATTTCAACAGCTAGAAAATAACTTTTTTCTTTCTTTCCTTAAGGCGTGATCTTGTGTCTTTCGTTCATGCTCGATTCCTTCAGACTGTTACAAACCACCCTTATATGAACAAAGTTATGCACTTGTGCACAAGTGCGCTCGGGTATAAGAATCTTAATGCGCTTCTTGGTCTAGCGAATGCATACTAAACACAATGAAAGACCCACAATGTTTTTCAGTAATGACTATGGATACCATACGCTAGCCCCGTGGGTTGTTATCCGTTTACTTATCAAGTTGCTGCCCTGCTCTTTTCTTTAAGAAGCGCTTAATTGCTTTGCAAGATCTGTTGTATACACAGTTTCGAGGGTACCTGCAAAAATTACGCTCATATTGGAATGTAGGCGAGTCGTAAATGCGTAGTTTTTCACCGGTCCATTTGCTCTATAAGCTTTTTTCTCTTAAGAAAGATAATATACTTATACGGTCGATTACTTTTTTAGTCATACTAGCAGGAAATCAGAAAGCATGATTACTTTGATACATTGAGCTGATTATAAGTTTTCAACATGAAAATTGCTAAGGAAAAATCTTTGTATGGATCTGTCCGTAAACTACTATGAAATATTTAACAACCTATAAATTCATTTGTATTTTACGGTAAACAAAAGCAGAGTACTGCGTAAAATTTTGCGGAAATGACCTTCACGTGCGTAATATTTTACGGGAAAATCTTATATCTCAAATCAAAGATAAGCTTGAAAAATACTATGGATGCGATCAATTTGCAATGGTGGTTTATTGAATTTCTTTGTAACCGTACAGACACGAGGTGCGTCGAATGTTCTGGACGCAAAATTGAATCACTACACCCCAAAGAATAGACAATATCCAAGTAAATTATTGACCGATCGCAAGATTGTATAAACCATAGGCATTTCGTATGTATACATTGCTCACATGCTTAAATTTTATTATAGGTTTATTTTTAGGAAGCATCACAAAATTGGGTAAATATTTCGCATTTGCAAAAAAAAAAAACAAAGCTAGCGGTAGGAGAAATACAAAATGTGTATGCGCCCCGGTAAAATTTCATCTATGTAGCTTTTATCCCTGACTCTTCCGGTTTATTTTCAATGTTTGGAGTTACAACCCTGACGAATGATAAGGAAAAGAAGATGATACTTAGATTGAGTGGGCCATGCTACATACATTAAATTGATGTCAGGATTGATTATCATGCCCAATAGTCAAATTGTACACAAGAACGCAGTCAAGTTTAGTGAACCGCGGATATATTAACGAATTATTACCGATATTGTGATTGAAATATAATTTAAAACTAATCTACCTCAACTTTTATGTGAATGTATTTTTTACGAATAATCAGATATGTATATTGAATAGAGTTCACTCATTTGATTTTTACTTATTTTATTAATTTTATTCAAATCGTCAAAACGTACATAGCTTTTTACCATATAGCGAATAATTGATTTTTTCGAAATCTTTCATTTGCATCGTTAAATACACACCCCCACTCATTATTTAATCAAATTTTTTTCAACAATTTTTGGTTTTATGCTATCCAAGGCGAATTTATATAAGGTGATGTTACTAGATCAGCTGATTTTGTGTATGTGTTTCGCCTCGTGGCTTCTTATGTCAAATTGAAATATTTTGTTTGCATTTCCACACACACTATTACAGATTTTGACAGTTCACGCCGCAAAAGCAAAAACAAAATACATGTACATTTTTGTTTTTGTACTGCTGCTATCACCCTATATTAATTCGCCTTGATGTTATCAAAACATTTTCAAATATATGAGTACACATGCAAAGCAAAAACAAAACAAATGTTTATATAAACTGCTAGTGAATGTACTGAATGCCAAATACTAAATCATATTTATCAATTTAAATAAAAATTTTATTTACTAACAGCTGCTCCAATACCATATTTGCTATTTAATATTATCATCAATCATAATTACTATTATTATAATTTAATTTTCTTTTACTCCACATAAATATGTATATGTACGTAAATATTTATGAGCGAAAATAAGACGACTATTCGGTTAGAAAAAAATTAAAAAATAGCGGTTTTGATAACTACATAAGTTCTCAGGGTTTCTTAGTGAAAAGGAATATTTTATTAAAATTATGAAATATTATATGTAAACGTGTAAAAGTACATATTTTCTATATACATATTGTGCCACTCTTTACCTCTTTCTCTATCTCTCTATTTTGAAATTTAAAAAACACTTTCTTTTTATTGCTATTATTCCATTCACTCAGTAAAAATTGTCCACTATAAATTTGTTTTTAACCTTCTTAAACACAAATGTAATTCAATTCGTAAAACTCTATTGAAATAATATAGTCTACTTTATTTGTTCCTGTTTACGATTAGGCTTATTTAAATCGAAAAATGTCTCGTGATGAGTGATAGTCAAGCATATTGCATTTTCGTTTCTTTCGCTGATATTTAATTAATATTTAAATACTCATTTGAAGTTTTGTGTCTTCATGTAAATACATACTTAAACCAGAAAATATGAAATCTTTTTTATTCAATCACATTTTTCTACTTTTTAAATGTTTCTTCCATTATAAATTTTTTTACGCATTTTTTTGGATTAGCCTTTTGGAAAATCGTTAGCTTTGTTGAAATAAATCACGAAAGCCAAAACTTTAAATGGCACTAAATAGTTAAAATATTGAAAATTTTCTGAAAAAGAGAATTTTTTTAAATTGGTAACTTTTGAGATGGTCCTTGTGTACATTCGCTATGTTAAGTTAACTTCTGATCTAATCAAACTTCTTAGTTGGATTTTTTTGTTTTTACTTGTTTTGCTCTTTATCAGGATTTTTTCTAATTTCGATGGCTAATTTTCACTCATTATTTTATTTTAGTTTTTATATATTTTTATATTTTAGTACTTTATTCATATATTAATTTTCACTGTTATTCGAGCTTTTCAAATCATTTTTTAAGTTTTCCCTAGCTAGAAAATTAAATATAAGCACTAGATATTTTTACTGCAAATCAGTGATTTTAAGAGAGATATCTTCTCAGTCCTAAACAATCG